GATTGGATCAGTGACCCTGTTAACCTTTTATTTTAATAGGACTTGCTCATTCAAAAATCCGTATTTAAAAAGTTAAAAATTCTTAAATCCTATATAATTTGTGTATTGTTTTATATAATTGATTTTGTATGGTATATAATTAAATTCATGTAAACTCATATATTAAACAGGTTTAACAAGTTCAGTGAATTATTACTCAATCTCATTAACTCTAAACTCATATTCATTAATTTTTTGTCAATTTCATGATAAATTGATAAATCGTATTGAAAATTGTCAATGCCGAACATTATCCAAAATAAAATTATTTTTTATTTTTTTCCTTTTTAAAGTCTATCTATGCAAATGTAATTTACTAGAAATACTGAGGGATTTAGAAATTTAGAAAAGTGGATCGTCTGTCCAGGTAATATCCGATACCAAAATTTCATCAATTTCATAAATACATGAAGCCTAGCAAGTATTAAACAAATTACCAGTTTAAACTAAGTTGGGGATACTCCAATCTAAGCCCACTCAGGGCAAACATAAATTTCATGCAACAAACCTATGAACTTTGCCAATGCTTATGATCATGACCAAAAATTACCAGTACTTTTTTTTTTTTTTGGGTGGAGAGCAAACTTGAACTATTGACCTCAAAAAAGTAAAGTCTTCACTGTAAGTAATATCATTAAACCAAAAATCCCATCAATATCCAATACTTTGTTTAAAATGTATATCAAAACATTTATTATTATCATTTCTCAATACATGAAAAACACTACTAATTAGAAGCAGGAGCATACTTTTTTAGAATAATAATTATATTGTTTGAAATTTATGTTGTTTAGAAATTGTGCCATTTTAATGCAAATAATCACCCAAAAAAAAGAAAAAGAAAATCTCAAACAGTTCACTAATTTATTGGGTGTAGAAGTATAAAACCCGATTAAATTTGAACTTTTTATAAAAAAAATGGTAAAACGGTAAATTGTTACTTTGGTGCGGGTTGAAAACCCATTTTTTTTCTAGAACTCGGATGACAAAATGGACATCACTGTTGGATTCGTCTCGCGAAATTTAGTTATCCTGACAATTTTCTTCAAATTTCGAGATAGTCAGATTTTCGCGTTTTATGAGACGAGTGAGTGTCGGGCGACCTCACACAATGTTGGAGAGGGAAGAGAGGGAAAAAGAGAGAATTTCAAACTTCTTTCTACAATTTACGACTCCCCATCGCTCGAATCTTCGTCGTAGGCTACACGACCATACCAAAAAGGACAAATTTCACCGAAGTTTTAAAAGCGAGATTTTGGAAAAAGTTTGAATTTGAGCTTATTTTGGGTTCTTGAAGCTTCCTATGATTATTTTACGTTTCAAGAGGTAGATTTTTCATCCTATTTAGGTTTATTTCTAACCTAGGTTTGTAATATGAAATGGGTAAGTTGTTAAATATCTTTAGCACTTGTCTATTGTTGTTAAATTGATAAAATAGGTATTGAAAATGGGTAAATTCAATTCTAGTATGAATTGGTAATTAGAAATTGCTAGTTTGTAATTTCTTGAAAGTTTTGATATGTAGGCATTCTATGTGTTTACATTATATCTTGGAGAATTAAGTATGTAAATTGCATGATTATGTGGCAACATCCTTGGGCATTGTTGTTGGGAATATGTTGATATATGTTTGTTGATATATTGATATTGTAATGAATTATGGTTATTATATGCTTGTGATATAATTTGTCATGGAATATGTTGATATGTGGTTAAATTGGTTCATATGACATTCATAGCGTATTGGACATGATCTCGATATTACAATTGTGTATTACATTGCATATGCACGGAGACATCGCATTTTGTGGGTGTGTGTGCATAGTTGTCATCAAACACCACATTTGGTGGATGATGATGGATGAGATCGAAAAAGTTGGGTCAAAGACCCGGCTGAGTTGCACGGTTTGCATTATAAATTAGGTCGGAGTTAGCAAGAAAGGCTAGACAATCCCTCGGGTGTAAGACCCGGTTACTTTGGATACGTACTCCATTGGTATTGAGTCTATAAAGTGTGTTGGCATATGCGAGACTGTTGATGAAAGCCCATAAATGCCGTGTCGATTAGGTGACCGTTTGTGGAAGTCTATGAATACCCATCCCAAGAAAAACCCGGGAATTTAATGATCATTGGATTTGAAACATTAATGGTGGGGGCTTGGAAAGCTCGGATTTGCACTCATGGCATTTGCATGTGTTGAGGGAGCCGGTAAGGGCTTCGGTTGATGTACAGAAGTGAGTCTTATCTCATTTCATGGCATGACATGGTGATTCTTATTATTGAATTGCATATTCTTGATTGGAATGATTGTTGCTTGTTGAATGTTGCATGCGAATATTTCATATGCATCTAGGTTGGGGCTCATCCTTTATGAAAAAATATTTTAGGTGCGAGCTATACATCAGTGGAAGGCTCTCACTCAAGACCTCAAGGATGAAGGAAAGCTGACTTGTGGCTTTTAAACCATATTTGTAAAACATTTGTGAAATTGATTTTGAGCATGTGAATCTATGGAAATGATTGTAATAGAAATTGTATGAACCATGTTTTATATGAAAACTTCATTATACATGTGTTGGGTTGATATGAAAGGGATTGGAGTGGATTAAAAATCGAAAACATGTGAAACATGCAAATCTGAGCACACCTACCAGTAGGAGGTTGAGTTCTTCTACCGGTAGATGTGGTCCAATAGGCATATCTACCGGTAGAACGTCATTGTTTTTGCGGTAGAACATTTTCAGTGGCATTTCTATCCGTAGAACTTGCACATCTTCTACTGGTAGGTTTTCACAGATTTTCTAAAAATAGGAATCCAGTGCACAACTTCTACCGGTAGGTTTTTGAACACTTCTACTAATAGGTTTTATTAAACTTTGAATTTTTGAATAGTTTCACTAAGCTCTTGGGCATTGTTTTCTCTTACTCAAGGATGTTCTATGGGATGTATATGATGACGAACTAATGTATAAAGGACCACGGATGTGTGGGTTATGATCCCGGTTAAGGGGATGTTATTGACGTAACGTCGGATTGTGCGATAATCATGAGTACTTTCGCTTGTTGATAGGTGTTCAACAATTGATAAAGGACCCCCGATTTTAGGGGTATCACAAAAAGAATATTACATACTAAGGATAATTCGTACCTGAAAATCAAAACTTTCCTACTTAATGAATTTTAGCTTTCCCTTGCCTGATCAAAAAAGACATGGTGCAATGTGAATAATTTTAAAGGGATGTTAGTAACCGTTTGATGATTCTATCTGAGATCGTTGAATGAAATTATTAAAACTTGTTCTATTTTATATTATAAGTTATCTAGTAAAACATGGGAGATTAATGGGATATAAAAGTGGAACAATTACTTTGGATACGGGGAAATCCCATAACCTATCCTCAACGAATAGAGGCAAGCTTATGTCGCATAGGCTCGTGACTCTGAGTAGAATTAAGGGCAAATCTCGGGTGTGTGAATCAGTCCCTCAACTTATACACTATTTAAATAAGGACTTGCAATTCGTTGTAGACTCAAGGCACATACCAGAAAGTTGGATACGATTCATTTAAACAACTGAAATCTTGTCCTACCAAATAGCCACATTTTTTTTTTGTGCTCAAAGACTTTGAACCCCTAACCTCCCACTGGGAAGCCAAAGGCCCAGGCTAACTGGGCTACCCCAGTTGATTAAAGTGGAACAATTATGTGATGGGCAAGCGAGTCCAAACTATTATATGAGAGAGAGAAAGAGAGAGTTGGCAGTTTGCCAGCTACGTGTAGGATAAGCTTAGGTCGTATGGTGTTATAATAACAGCTGTGGTTGTAGACTGTCAGTTATTTTTTTGTCTTATGTTGGTGGCGTAATTATTATTATATGATATGATTTAAGTGTTCATATTAATGATGCACAAAAAAATCTTGTGCAAAATCAACAGTCGAATGAGTAACAATGCGTGATTAATGGACAATTAATGAAGCAATCAATAACAGTAATGTAAATATTGAGTCAACACACAGATATATAGTGGTTCGATCTGAGTGACCTACTCCACTCTGAGAAACAACAACGGTAGCCAGGGGGTCTTTATTGATGAAGTAAGGTAAATGGGAGAGATCAATGGTTAGGTCCAGGAGGGATATAAAAACTAGGAGACAGAAAGTGTGTAGAGATATGTAGAGGTATAGTGAGATGTCCCACTCAATAGAGAGAGCTTACAATTTATAGACATGATGAGGCGGTGATGTGAGGGTAAAGGCACTAGCTTTTCGGGGAGAATAGCTACAATATGTAAGTATAACTAAGATAGTCTTGATCCTCGAGAGTGGGTAACTCGATGATTTCTGTCCCACGTACTCTTATCTTCCTGGGCTCCTTGGTTCTTGTACTGGGTTGGATCAATAAGTTAGGCTAAACCAACGAGCTGGACCTGAGGAATCCTTTCAGCTACTCTAAGTCCATTCACTTTATTGGGTCTGACCCAATTAAATTTGGACTCATCATTTGCCCCATATGCCCCCAAATTCTTGTTGTGCCAAAGATTTTGAGGGCACGAGTGAGCTTTCCATCTGAAAGAGGTTTCTTGTTTTCCACGGTATGGCTTCTTCAACTTCCCATTTTTGTCTGTAAAAATTCTTTCCCCATTTTGTTCCACCATCGCGATTGCTCTCTATGTTGAATCTCCGTAGAAAATTTCCATACACCTAGGCTTCATCTTTTGGGATCATAGAGGCCTTTCTTGGATATTTTCTCCGTACCCTGGGCGTAAAAATCTTAAAAGACCCCTTTTCCCATATTCCCTTTAAATCTGCAAACTTCCATTAAAGGTGAGGGATTTGGGGAAGAAGACTTCAATCTTTTAGGATTTTAAATCCTTCATAAAATACCTTCTCTATGCCCAGGATTCAGAGGACCTTAAAACCCATTTTTCACTCATTGAGAAGGGAAAGCTAAATGAGGAGAATGGCCTCAAAGCTAGGGAAATCCATGGTGATTCCCAAGGGTAACGCCATGGAGCCCCTTGACCCTAGGCAAATCAATGAACATATTAGTGGCACTCTCGGCGTCAGATCCAGAGGAATGGTGAGCAGGGGCCCCGTCGCAGTGGAGAATGACGTTGGGGTGCCTTCAATAGCCAGCGTTGCATCGGCCCAGATGGTGGGCGACGCTAGTGTAACGTTGGGCGGCCCTAGCTTTATGGGCGGCGCCAGCTTCGTAGGTGGCTTTGACGTGGCAGCAGATGGAGGGAGGAGTCGCACCACTGGAGACATCGAGGTTGGTCTAGTCAAGATGAGGGTTGATCCTAATGGCGCCTTGAGCGTGGGCATCGCAGGAGAGAAAGGAAGCATCCAGGGCGTTGAGGCAGTCTTGGCTCCAAGCAACGCCAATAGGCTGCTAGGTGGCTCCAAGATTCAGAGGACCTTAAAACCCCGTTTTTACTCATTGAGAAGGGAAAGCTAAATGAGGAGGATGGCCTCAAAGCTAGGGAAATCCATGGTGATTCCCAAGGGTAGTGCCATGGAGCCCCTTGACCCTAGGCAAATAGATGAACATATTAGTGGCACTTTCGGCATCAGATCCGAAGGAACGATGAGCAAGGGCCCCGTTGGAGTGGAAAATGACATTGGGGCGTCTTCAAAGACCAACGGTGCATCGGCCCAAATGGTGGACGACGCCAGCGTAACGTTGGCCGACGCCAGCGTAACGTTGGCCGGCGCCAGCTTCACGGGCGGCTTTGACGTGGCATCAGACGGAGGGAGGAGTTGCACCACTGACAGCGCCGAGGCTGGTCTGGTCAAGATGGGGTTGATCCTGACGGCGCCCTGAGCGTGGGCATCCAAGGAGAGCAAGGAGGCATCCAGGCCGTTGAGGCAGTCTTGGCTCCAGGCAACGCCAGTGGGTTGTTGGGCGATGCCAGCCAACCATTAGGCGACGCCCTCAGGGGAGAAAGAGATGTGGGAGGCACCCAAGGCGCTGGAGGTGGTACCCCCATGCGCGAGGCATTGCCCTCCTAAAGCAAGGCTGCAGCGGGCTCTGGACCGGTGGGAGTGGGTCAAGCGATGTCGGTGGTCATGATGGCGGAGATGCAAGAGACGCTGGGTTGGGCAGCACAAGGATGCAGGGTGCAAGGAGAGGCGACGCCCTAGGCATGCTTGGTGGCGCTGAAACTAAGGAGAGCAAGTGTTCTTCTGAACTTTGCGGGATACATTCTGAACTTTTCTTTATAGTTTTCATGACATAGCCTTAGTATGTGATTTAGAAAATCATTTAGGTTTCCGGGGCGTTGCCTAACCGGGCAAGTTAATCCCCAAAATTCAGTTGAAGCGCATCATGGACGTAGCTGAATACATCTCGAATTGCTAGAGAGTCCTTGTTGAGTTGAAACTAATTGCCTTGACATTGACTTTAACTCCGTCTTGGTTCTATTTGTTGCCAGACACCTACTTTGACAAGCGCATTATGGGGGAGGCTACTTGAGACATCATCGAGCGAGGCAAGGGGGCTATTGGACATAATGGCTCAAAGGTGACCTCCATATTTAGCTCCATTGACTGCGATGATGATATCGCTCGTATTGTGTCTTTGTACTGCATACCTCCTGTTGTCCTGTGTTGTTGGGCGAAGGAGGACGAGCTAGCCTATTGTGATACTTTGGGTGAGATTGTTCTCTATGAGAATGCCCTGGAGGCGAGTTTGAGGTTTTCGATACCCGGTCATATCTGTTGGATTCTGGGACACCTGTCGCTGGCTCCAAATGGGTGGAGGGTGATACTGACATTCTTTTCATTATGTCGGATGGTTCACAATGCAGATGTCCCTCCCACGTTCGAGGAGTTCTTGCCCATGTATGTGCTTTTGGATAACCCCTTTCCTCATCAAGAGTGGTGTTGTTTCGCCCCGAGGTCGGGCAACTTCATCAGTGGGCTTCCTTTGAATTGTCATAGCTGAAAGTTTAAGTTCTTCTTTGTTAGAGGCGAGTGGACCACTGAGGGAGATCGCGACCTAGTGCCTTTGAGGTGGGACACCATCCCGAGGACCAAGCTAAGTAAGGATTCCACTTTCGTTTTTACTTCCAGTCGTTACATATATGTTCTCACTGTCTGATTGATTTTTATATAGTTTCACCCACATTATTTGTGGAACAACAGAGTAGGCTCCAGATAGTTCGTGACCATAAGTTGGGTTAAACCTACGGGCTGCTCGGCTCCTTGGGTCTTCCTCAACTCTTTGGGTCTTGGACTGGATTTGATCAATAAGTTGGGTTAAACCTATGGGCTACACCTGAGAGATCCTTTTAGCTGTTCTAAGTTCATTCAGTTTATTGGGCCTGACCCATTTAAATTTGGACTCATCAAATATCAACAAATTTTATTTTATATACGGATTGAGTTTAATTGGATCAAATTATTTTTTTTTATCAATATTTTAAATTTTTAAAAGATTGAGAAAAATAGAAAAATTCATGGTATATCAGTCCAAATTCAAACCAAAGTTTATTCATTAACCCGGCTTAATGTGAGCATCAAATGAGCAACCCGTCAAACCAAAATTACAATTCTAAATTTTAGCTTAAATTCAAATACATGTTTCATAAAAAAAAAAAAAAATTAACGAATCAAACATAAACAAATATTTTTTAAACATTATGAACTTAACCTAACAATTAAGTATTCAATTCAGATATATTTTGATTCATTTATAGATCTAAATATTGATGTATTAGTTGAACCTCGTGCAATGTATGAGGGGAAAAAAAAAAGAATACAAAGTTAAAGTTGCAGTTACAATTTACAATGGCATCTAAATAGATTGACTATGTAAAATAAATTTCCAATGCATCTAAATTGCAATTACAACAAAAAATATTCCATATTTAATATAAAAGTTCATCTTAGATATCATAATTTCATCACTGGCCATGTACAACCTCATGCATTCATTCCTATGTCATATTTACCTATTGTAAAGCATTACATGCCGTATGAAAGTGTCCTGCACTACAGAAGTTACAGAAAGAAGACCCAACCTCAAAGTAGGGCTGTCAATCAAATTGAGTTTGGCTTTAATTTGGTCGGGTTCGATTCGTTTAGACTCGGTTCGTTTTTTAAACGAGCCCAAGCTTAAATAAATTTTTATGCTCGTTTAGAAAACAAGTCCTACAAACTCGGGTCAACCTCAACAAGCTTAACTCGTTTATGTGTAAATACTCAATTAAGAAATATTCAGACTAAACAAAAATTGTTCAGGCTTGGCTCGTTTAGAAACTAGTCAAACTTAAACAATTTTTTAAACTCAATTAAGAAACAAGTTTTTTTAACTCGGCTTAGGTTCGTTCGACTAACGACCCTACCTCAAAGGAAGAACCGACGCTTAATCCGTTTCACCATCGTCCCTTCGATGATTGTCTTCCGGCCATTCTATTTTCTCCAAGAGTACTTCTTTCGCTTTTTTTGGTGCATAGTGGACAACCGCATGAACTCCTCCGGTGATACCCACCACTGTGGCTACCGTCGATGTTATGACCGCCAAGGCCGACTCAACAGTAGAGCCAAAAAAAAGTATGGGTAGGCCAAAAATTTTAGAGTTCAATAATAAAGTATAGATCAAAATATTAGAATTTATTATAATTTAGCTTTAAAAAAAATTCTTGAAAGATTACGTCAAAAAAATAAAATTTAAAATTTACGTCCAAAAGTACAGCCCACCTCACACATACATATTTATTAAAAGACAAAAAAAGGTTAGTATTTCGATAAAAAATTATAATAAGTATCTCTCTTCTAAAAAAAACCATTTATTAAATCTCGATTTTGTTTTTATTTAAACACAAAAATATCAACTAATTAAATTGTTCATTCGCATAAAGGATCTACAATAAAAACTAATTAATAAAAAAAAAATTCAATAAAATTGTTAGGAGAGAAAATAAAACACAACAAAATAGTAGGTGAATATTGTATACATAAACAAGTTAAAGATCATATAACAAATTAAAATATTAAAAAATAATAAAATAATATTTTTTTGAACTTGATAAAATAATTCAATAACAATATAATAAGGAATTATGAATGTATACTGATAGTCAATCATATAATACCACAATTTTAATGAAGAATATACAAAATAAATTAATAAGAAGAACATAAAAATAGTAATAAATAATAAATTGTATTCTGAAAAGTGCGGATCAAGCAAGAGATAAGAATGACAAAGAGATGTATGAATCTGTTTATTAAAAAATGTGTATTTAGTCTTGATAATCTTTGTATATTTATAAGTCCTATAAATTATAGTATTGAACAGTTGCACGGAGAAAGTATGAGTATGAAATAACGCACATGTAAGAGGCAAAAAATGAATTTATCTATTGCAAGAGATGTTTGGTTTAGAACTTGTATTCCTCCTATTCCTTCTAGCAAAACGAACAAACTGTCCAGGATCGAAGTGCTTCAATCGAAGGCACTCTGATACCTAAGTCAGTAATTGAAGAAATGATTCAACATATCTTTTTCTATGTCTGCTTGTTCCTCTTTATAATGTTTCCTTTTCCCTTAACTAGGGTGTCCATGATGGACAATACATTAAATGTTCATTACACATGTCATAATTTCTAATGCCCGCTCAGCACATGTAATGTTTAATATATATTAGATGCCTAAATTACTAAAAAGGAAAAATTATGTGATACCACATTGTAATATTGAACATTTTTAACAATACCTTAAATGGTCAATGAAAAAATGCATAAAATATAAAATTACACATATATTACTTTTAAACATTACGCGTCATCTGATAATCAATTTGTCTTACTTAATCGATTTCATGGACGAAGACTTGACAGTGAGGGCTGAACAAAGACTACAATTGTTGTGAGATGCACAGATATTTCAATCTTTTAAATAGGAGAAGGCACAGTAGGGTCAACCCTAGGGCCCGAGCATTAAAATAGTCACCTAGAGCCTTAAAAAATTGGAGGTCCAATTTAATTTTTAGCCCTTTGTTTAGTTTTATGTTCTCAGGCCTTTTTGAAAGTATCAAGTTAAAGATCAAACATATTTCGCAAGTCTATCTAAAACCTTATAGAAAAGTCTAAAATGTAACAATATTTTCACAAGTCTATGTAAATCTTTATAGAAAGTTCTAAAATATAACACAGTTTTCTGAAAAAATCTAAAATTAACAACTTCTACCTTTAACATAGCAATCTCTCTTAAAATTCTTTTCATTAATTTTTCCTCTACTCTTACCACCTCTCTCCAACTCTTTCTCTCCATCTCAGCCTCATTGTCTTACTCTGATTTTTTATCCTTATCTTTAGCTATATTGTTGTTTCTTTAAGACTTTATTCAATTTATTCTGGACTTCACAATTGCACTTTGATCTAGTTCAATCCCAAAATGACTAAAATTTTAAAAAACAATCATACCATAAATCTTTATAAAATATTTTGTCGCTTTAGGGCCCAATTTATGTTGGACCGACCGCAAACTTAAAAAGCCTTTGAATCAAAGCAACTTGTGACATTCCGACAGTCATGTTCAGACGATCAAAATCCTTCGGATTAATCAACATAATTATTTCACCTTCTTTCCTCAAAAGACTCTTTCTCAATCTTATCTTCAAATGTCCAACAACTTGTTGAAAAAACATATTAAAAACCTTGCTCCCCCACCCCCACCTCCCTTCATCTCTATTTTCTCTCTGATTATGGTTCAATTCTATCTAAGTAATGTAGTATGAAAAAGAGGAAAGTCTCTCACTAGTAATATCTTCAATTGTAATGAGCTTTTACGTGCATCAACGTACACCATCCCAAAAGCTCTATTTTTCTGTGTCTCTCTTTCTCTGGTAAACTTTTTACAATGCTTTCGTTTCTCATTGTTTTTGGGCTAGTGCTTTGGACCGTACACTATTGTATGCTAGTATAGTAGTTGGGCTAGCTTCCAATAAAACTCGATGCCAATATAATTGAATAAAAATGCTATGGCCCATGACCATGGTCCATGGATTGACCAAATGATGGTATAGACAATAGTTCCTAGAATATGCTGTATAACCCACCACGATTAGCTCAATATGACAATGATAGGCCTATTATTTCAAGGACCCAAAACTATATGTTTCTCTATTTGAATAAATCTATATTAATGAGATAGAATTGATTTTAAAATTTTAAATTAGTCTACCATAAGAATGATTTAAATTAATCCAATCCAATTGATCAAAATCATCCCC